AGGAAAATGGATTGATTTCTTTTCCTTTGGAATGATTCATAATTTCAATAATGAATTTTCATCACTTTCCCATAAACAAGGATCGCCTATTTATAGCTCTCAAAACTCTGGTACGAAATTGTGTTAAAATTGTATGAAAACCACCAATTTCAAAAACACAATAGTTATAAAACGATAAAAAGTAACCAAAATTTTGATCTATGCGGTCGCATAGGTCAAACCTATGCGACCACATAGTAGAAACCATACCGGGGCCTCAAGTCCCGATATATGGCCATGCGACCACATGGTTCAGTGAACTATGCCCTGTAGCCTCTTGTTCCATTTTTCATTCCACACTCGATTTTCTCAATTTTAAACAACAGTTTCCAACATTATCCTCTCCCTCCAAATCGGGTGATTATAAAAAAATACTCTTATAATCTTATAGTATAAGATTTCATTGTCATTTTTCTCTTAGTTGACGAAGGACGGAGCTAGCACCCAACTAGCCCATGCAACTGCTCGTGCTGACTCCACTAAAAATTTTCTTTTCCAACACACCTGGATCCACCACTGTAGTTGACGATTAGAAGTACTCGAGAAATTTACTTTTTGTAGGCATGGATAATAATAAAATCTCGTCGATAGATGTACTCAAGGAATTCGAACACGAACCTAAAGCTTGATACCCAAGATGTTAATTTTAACCTAACTCCATATTTTCTCTCTCTCTTTTTTATTACATTTTTTGCTTTGCTCACTAAAAGAAAATTAACATTTAATAACATGTAAACAACAACAATCATTAATTGTATGTGTTAAAAAAATATTTATCGCAACAGTCATTAAACGTACAACAATATTTCCATACATGTTAATGTAATCTTTTGTAACGTTTTCGGTCTATTGCAAAAAAAAATGTTGTTAAATAAAGTTAAAATATTCACGTTTAGCAATAAATGTTGTCGGTGGTTAATAAACGTAATTGACCACCACCCAACCCATATCTTCATACCCACACTCTCTATCGAGCAACACCATCGTCATCTACCCGCCACTCTACCACCATGGTCTTTCTATCTTTCCCTCTGTAGTTCTCTTCCATGTAATTTTTTGTATAAAAACAAAAATAGATTGGTCAAATGTTCCATTTTGATTCAACATCATCATCTTTGCATCTTGAATTCAAATGATCTAAGTGGTTGTGAGGGGTGTTTGGCCGTAAACGTGTTCTTCATCTCTCTCAGCACGAGTGAGGGAATCGCAGAAATAAAAATGATATGGGTGGGAAGGAGGAAGGGATGGAGAAGAATGGAAACATGTTTCGAAATTTTGACTACGAAATGGCTAGATCACAAAACTCTAAAAACGAGGACTTGTTTCAATACAGGGTAGTTCGAGACAATTTTCTCCTGAAATAATGGGCATTCTAGGCACTCTAAAGTCATTTTGATACAGAGAAAATGGTATTTCCATAGAGATTCGAACTATTTGGAACTGAAATGCTCCTCTCTATATTCAAGAGAGAAAGATTAATGGCAATGCAGGTTACTGCGACACAGAAACTAGCATCAAGTAATAATTCCACTAGCAGAACCAGCTCCATTAGCAGGTGCAGAATTTTCAATCTCTCTTCTTGCTTTTCTCGAGAGCCACTAAACTAATTTTGATTTGACAGACCTTAATTTGAAAATGATTCAATAGCTTGTAAAAAGCTTTTAAAAAAAAAATGGATATCGTGTTTAAATAAAATAAACGTGTAAGAGTTTAGAGTTGATCTTGGCTCTTATTTGGCGTAACTTTTAAGTCAAAGTCAACCGTTCCTTTTCACCTTACATTTTATTGGAATTTACAATTTTTATCAATTTTTTTATCATACATTTCATAAAAATTACTAAAAAATTTGATTTTTAACTAACCCAAACAAAGTAATTGATGAAAACTAATGAATAGTTATTAATTAAATTTCTTTTTATGAGAAAATCAAATGGTAGGCTCAAATATATGTCGATGTCTAGATCCCCGTGCATTAAGAAATTGTGTTGAGAGACTCAAGAAAGGTGATGCAAAAAATGTAATTACGTAAAAAAGTTCGTTTTTGACTTTCATCAACGTTATCTATGTCGATTTCCATACATTTAAATGTAATCAAAGTTAAATCAAGTTAATGCTTAAAAAATGTTTTTAGACTAGTGAAAAAGTTCTTAAATAATTTTTTAAACTAAAGCTTAAATAATATATTATGGGTCAAATTTATTTAGGGTTTGTTTGACCTCTTCTTTCGGGAGAATATGTTTTGTAATAGTGATTTTTTGGAAAAATGTATATTTAAAAAGTAGATAAAATTTTTAAATTTATGTGTAAATTATTTTAGAATAATGTTACTTGCACATAATGGAATTATATAATGGTTTACCTGATGATGTGTCAAAAGAGAGTAGGGAATTTTTTTTTTTTTGAAATTTGATTGAAGAAATTTCGACTCAATCATATCTCACCACATCATGTGTATGTAAACAATTATGTAAATTATTATGTAAACGTAGCACAATCAATTATTTTATTGAAAAATGTATGGTTAAAGATGAATTTAAGAAAGTAATAGTGATTTTTTTTTTTGTGGAAATTTCACAGAATGTCCACTTTTTTGTGTCCATTTGCAATAATGTCCACCATTGCAAAAATGTCCATTTTGAAAGAATTTAGACCAAAATACCCTTATTAACAATTTATAATTCCACATAAACACAAAAATGTCCACTTTATTAAAAAATTTATTGGCCAAGAAGATTTTTTTACACATAACCCTAACCTATTTATTTCAAAAGTACAATTATTAAATCGCAATAAATGCAATTTTTCTCATTGACACAAAAATGTCAAGAACGACATTTCAAATATAGAGAAATATCATGTTCAAAATGAAATGTCATTCTAGACATTTAATATGTCGATAACAACATTTGAAATGTCGAGAACATTTAATATTGTGATTTAACATGTGTACTTTTCAAATATAAATAGGGTTCAAATGTCGAGAACGACATTTGAAATGTCGAGAATATCATTTGAATGTAGCTTTTCATGAAAGCGACTTCTCGAAATTTGTAAAAAATTGGAAAAAAAAATGCTTCATTTTTCCATTAAGGGCATAAGGGGCAATTTGGCACAAAATTCAAAATGGAGGACATTTTTCAATTGACACCCAAAATAATGGACATTTTTGAAAATGCCCTTTTGTTTTTAACAAAGACATCCACACATTCTTAGTGAGAGTTTAGGCTCCACCAAAGTAATAGTGATTTTTTTAGAGAATGTATAATTAAAAAGTAGAATTTTTGTAAAAATTGAAGTGTAAATTATTTTATTGAAAAATATATCATTAAAGACGAATTTAAGAAAGAAACGAGTTTTTAAATAATGAGGCTCAAACATATGCTGAATAACAAGTTTTGAAAATTGTATGAAAATAATATAGATGTTTATTAGGAGTGGATATGATTTGATTCGATTCAGATGAGAATTTCATTGGAATTAAGGCCATCTCTAAAATTGTACCAAAATTTGAGGTAAGTTTTGAACTATTTTACGCAAATCTTACACCAAATTGAAAATCATCTCCAACCCATTACACCAAATGAACAATATTTAATCTTTTTCTTCATTTTTTTATTTTAACAATTTATTTATTTGAAAAATTATTTATTTATTTATTTATTTTACAATTACATAAATTACTAAATAAATGATTACGTTGAATTAACGGATATATTGAATTCATTAATAGATTTAAAACATGTAAATCAATTAATGGAAACACCACAAGTAAGAAAATCATGTCATTCCTTTACTGTTATTGATTATATTATTAAAATTTATTACAAATGCATAATAATAATAATAATAATAATAATAATAATAATAATAATAATAATAATAATAATAATAATAAATTATTACGTGATATGGAAATAATCAATTTTTTTGCAAAGTGAAAGAAATGGCAAAATTGTATTTAACCATTTTGAGGCAAAGTATACTGCTATGTTTGAGAGAGTTTGCACCACTTTTTTGGTGAAAAATGATGTTTTGAGATAGCAATGGAGATGGCCTAAATAAACTTTTCCCTCAATATTTCAAAATACATTTTCCCCCAAAATGAGCTCAAACAAATGATTAATTATTTTTGTACCTAAGAGAAAATTTGTATATGGTCTGTTTGAGCTCCATTTTTTTTTTTTTAATGTAGAATTCATTTTGGAATAGTAGATTGATGAAAAATGTGTAGTTAAAAATGAAGAATTTTTTTTAGTTACGTGTAATATTATTTTATTGAAAAATGCGTGATTAAAAATAAGAAAGAGATTTTTTTTTTTTTTGAAAAAAATAGGGATAAACAAGGTCGTATCATACCTTTGCCCCTGTTTGGGCCACTTTTTATCTCGTTAAAATTAAAAATATGATCGTTATCCATCACATCAACATTTAATGCTTGTTTGGTAGGGATTTTTGGAGGAAGAATTGATTTTTGAATAGTGATATGATGGGAAATATGTGGTTGAAAAAGAAAAAACAATTATTGATGTGATGGAAAATATTATTTTATTGAAAAATGTGTGGTTGAAAATGAGAATCAATTCTCAAATAAAAAACAAACACCTCCTTAAATTCAAATTTTCTATCTCTTATGTGGGACTCAATAACGACTATATTTTTCATTCTTATTTTACAAAAAGTTGGTTCAAACAGCCTTTGTATATATGTTCACTTTTCATGCTTTTATTTCCAGCAAATTCACAAGAGTCCGTTAAACTGACGTCACAGTTAAACACGTTTACGTATAAATTCCATTTTCACTTCCACGCTTCACTCTCTGTCTTTAGATCTTAATTGCTGTATGTATCCACCCAAAATTCTGAACCCTAAACCCAAAATCACTCACAAATTATTAGAATTCAATCTTGATTTCCATTCAAAACGAAATAAACTCCCGGCTGCAAAATTTAAGTAACTAAACGATGGAGCAACTAAAGTCGATAGGGCGGGAGCTCGCGATGGGCTCCCAAGGTGGGTTCGGGCAGTCCAAAGAGTTCCTTGACCTCATCAAATCGATCGGCGAGACCCGATCCAAGGCTGAGGAGGACCGAATAGTTTTACGTGAAATTGATACTTTAAAAACCCGTCTTGCAAACCCCAATACACCGAAATTCAAGCTCAAAGAGTACCTTGTACGTCTCCTTTATGTTGAGATGCTTGGTCATGATGCTTCTTTCGGCTACATCTATGCTGTCAAGATGACACATGATGAGAATTTACTGTTTAAAAGGACCGGATACTTGGTTGTTACACTGTGTTTGAACGAGGATCATGATTTGATTATTTTGATTGTTAATACCATACAGAAAGATTTGAGGAGCGATAATTATTTGGTGGTTTGTACTGCTCTTAATGCGGTGTGTAGGTTGATTAATGAAGAGACAATTCCGGCAGTGTTGCCACAGGTGGTGGAGCTCTTGGGACATCAAAAGGAGGCAGTGAGGAAAAAGGCGGTGATGGCACTTCATCGGTTTTATCAGAGGGCACCTGGGTCAGTTTCCCATCTCGTTTCTAACTTTCGCAAGGTGAGTATAATCTATGCATGTAAAAGTTTGTGCATGCGTAAGTTTGTGCATGCATATTGGAAGGAGCTAGTTAACTTTTTACAAGTTATGGTCTTAATTGTAATGTATCCATTTATAGATTGAAATGGGGGATTCTGTGACAATGTTATAGTGCATAAGGTATAGCAGGTTTCTATGATGATGTGGAGTTGGTTTGAAATCATAATTGCATATATATGTTTAAGATAAGAATACGATCTTTCACATTTTAATGGCTTCAAGTAACATGTGAATGATTCATTGATGAAAACTTAAGAACATAATTGAATAATGAAACTTTTGTGAACTGAAGGGAGTGCCCTGCTCATTGCTTCTCTTATGCCAGTTGTGTGAGGCACATTTGGATGTTTCCAATTGAGCATATGTTTGGCTCATGTTTATAAACACCCGAGCCACTTTTTATCCACATTTTGAAGAACCTACAAGCACTACCTAATTATTCACCACTCATTTCTATCTGTTTATAGTTTAAACCATTTAAAAACACTTCCCAAACATGCTCTGAATGAAATGATAGTCAATTATGTTCTTAAGCTGAGTATGGTTCGATTTCTTCATTTATATATACAGGTGCATCATGAAAGAAAAAGTTTTATTTTGCAGATGCAATTTTATCTTGTTTATGATGAATAATTTTATTGCAGAGGCTTTTTGATAATGATCCTGGTGTTATGGGTGCAACACTTTGCCCGTTATTTGATCTTATCACAACTGATGTTAATTCTTACAAGGATCTGGTGATCAGCTTTGTAAACATTCTTAAGCAAGTTGCAGAGCACAGACTACCAAAGAATTATGATTACCGTCAAATTCCTGCCCCATTTATCCAGGTATACATTATTATTGTTTTTTGACATACTTGATATGCTCTTACACGTTTTATTGTAGAATCATAATTATAATTCAGAATGTGCAGTGTAAAATAAGTCATTTGCACTAGTTTCAGGAAAACAATTCTGCAACAGTACCCGTTTCTATCAACACTATTCCAATGTTGTTACTAGATTAAGTGTGTAATTCTGGAATTTCAAATTCTTGTTTTGCTCTCTCTTTATGAAGACCCTCTGGCTTTGTTCTGTATAACTAATCAAGTTGCAACTGGAACCTTGGTGTACTGATGGTCATAGAATTGCGACTCTTCTTAAAGGTTGACAGTTTAGGCATAAGCTCTTACACCTTGATTCTTTCTCAGTGTGTGCCCTGCTATTTCTGTGGACAAGTATATGATGAGCGCGGTACTCATGGCATGCCAACATTGTAGATTTAGGTTGTGGATCTAATAGAATCTGCAAGTTTCTACTTAAATAAGGGCACATCATTGGACTTCATCAGATGCGTACAGAAAAGCAATGTCTTCTTGACTAAATGACCTTACCCCTCCAATATCACTTTACCTTCTACGATTTCCAGGACTATTCTTAGTTGGAAGGCAGAAAAGGTGAAACTAATCAAATTTTACAATATTTAGAAATCCTCTGAGGATGTATAGTAGTTATAACAATGGTCTTTTACTTTTTGAAGTTGTGATATTAGATGCCAACATTCAAAAATTTGTCCTCTTATTTTATTTATTTGGCTTCAGATTGATCTGGATGATGTGATATAGTGGGAGTACACAAACTGACAAACACATGTAAAGGCACAAACGATGAAAAGTGTAGAACAAACAGAAATTTAGTTGAAATTCACTTGCCCCTTTTGTTTTGGACTTTCTTGGGGACCTGGAGGAGGAATAGAGGGAGTAATATAAGAGGACTAACTTTGAGATGTATGGCTGGACAAAACTCTTGAATCAAACTGGACCCGAGCTATATTGAACCGAACTTATCGGTTCTTCTTAAGTTAAATACCCGAACGGGTATTTAAATCGAGAATCGATAGGTTTGGTTAAGTTCTCGATTTTATACCAAGAACTGAATTTCCATAATTTTTTATCTTAAATAAGCCAAATTATTATTTTTTTTAAATAAATTTGCTAACTAATTAATTTAGCCCAAACCCAAAATATGATTTTTCATATTTCTAATTTCCAATTCAAGTCCAACTTAATCAAATTGACCTAAATTTTATCCAAATTCGTTGTTTTACCGTAGTGTCGTTTCTACTCTAGAGAAATCGAATTGGAAACTTGGTTGCACTTCTCTTCATTATTGTGAGCTCGCTATCTTCGTTGTTAGTCCTTTTTGATGGTTTGGTGGATTGGGGATGCAATTATTATATTATTCCAAGGTTATGCTTCTTTTAAGGATAGTAGGATTGTATGGGATCTTATTCCGGAATGCATTGTATGGTGCGTGTGGAGAGAAAGGAACAACCGCTATTTTGAAGACCAAACAAGAACTACAGAGCAGTTCAGAAAATTGTTTTATCTGACTTTGTATAGTTGGTTCAATACTGTGGCTAATAACCATATAGAAGGGTTGCCTAATTTCATGTCGTTTCTATATTGTTTAAATTGATAATACATTTTCCATGTATTATCTCTTGATTTATAAATAAATTCTCTGATTACTTATCAAAAAAAAGGTTATGTTTCTTTTAGTTTCTAACACAATATCAAGGGAAGACTTTTCCTGTAAAGATACGGAATAGAATTTGAGAGAGATTAAGAGCATGTTTGGGCACTTGCTTATTTTACTTAAGCAGGAGAGAGAAAAAGTAATCCCTCGTTTATTTTTTTTCTCTCTGTGTTTTTTCATATTACTAAAACTGAGTTTTGTTCATCTATTTTATTTTTCCAATATCATCTTCCCAACTACATTTTGGTGAAACTCTCAACCTTTGTGTTTACAAAAAGATATGTCTCTTACACTTCATTGACTTCAGTTATCAATCTGTACCCATGTCTGACACAAGATACACGAGATGGCACTCAACATGACATAATACACATGTACAACTTCTCAAAAATGAACAAGATTCTTCAATGCTTGACTCAAGTCTCAAAACTGAGCCACAACAGCAATGTGCTGAAGAAGTAAAATGATGCATCTACAACCATGTCATTTTTTCAGTTACAATAAACATTCCTTGATAGAAATGAATTGCCCTGACTTGTTTCTGTTGTTGGATGATGTAAAATATATTTTAGAGTATCTGGATATTAGGTTATAAATTTATGAGCAATGTGTTCTTGTAACCCTGTCAGAAGTTCATATTTATTGATCTCCCGAGGTCCTAAATTTGACATTCATATCCATTCAACCCATACACGACACTTTTACTTGGGTCTGAGCATCATATATAAGAATCTCACTATGAAAGTTGTAATCACTCTATCACGTTAGGTCTGTCCAGTGGCATGCTGCAGCATTTTATGAACTTAAGTTTAAAAAGGCTTAGTTATGGGAATTACATGGTGAAACTTCTCAAATGACAATATATACATAGAATGATTGAATACTTTATGGAATAAAAAATTAATCAGTGAGGGGTGAAGTTGAACTACTTTGGCATGACTTTTCTGAATGGATCTTAAGATCGCTTCTTCAATAAATGATTTCATCAACAAACTCCAGCAACACCTTCCCAGCTTCCTTATATAATTTCTGTACATTATGGATCCTCCTACAAGATGATATAGTCTAGAACTTGCATTTATGACCTCAATCACTTTTTTGAGCAAGAAGAAAGGCGTATTTAACAGCAAAGCATATGAATTCTGGTTATTATTCTCCAGGTTTTTCCATTTATCTATTTGCTCACAGATTACAATAGATATTGCTTTACCATGCAGATCAAATTATTAAAAATACTTGGGTTACTGGGTAATGGTGACAAAAAGGCCAGCGAACACATGTATACCATTGTGGGTGACATGATGAGAAAATTTGATTCCACAAGTAATATAGGGAATGCCGTTCTTTATGAGTGCATATGCTGTGTTTCCTCAATACATCCCAACCCCAAGGTACTCGAAGCTGCTGCTGATGCCACTTCGAAATTTTTGAAGGTTTGTATTCTCCGATTTGGTTTGATTCTCTCACATTTCTTTTCATGTTTTTGGATCTCATAACCCTGCATGCATATGTGATGGATAGAGTGATAGTCACAATCTGAAATATCTTGGTATTGACGCTCTTGGCCGGCTGACAAAAATAAGTCCTGAAATTGCTGAACAGCATCAACTGGCTGTCATCGATTGCTTAGAGGTGAGATACTTTTTTTCTTGCACTACTTTTGAAACATTGTAAGGTGGTCCATGTATGAAGACTAATAGGCTATGCGTGGAAAGAGTTGAAAGTATTCTTGGAAGCAAATGGGTAGAAGGTGAGAAGACATGGAGAGACATGCGGTTTCTTGATTTATTGCTGTTTCCATATTAGAAATTTCTTCTGGTAATTTGGGTTGGATAGCTTTACATCTTCGTAGGATGGTTTTCATAGATTTTGTACAAGGATTGTGCTTGCTCATGTCTACCAAAATGAAATACCTTACTATAGAAGGAGAAACAGTGACACTGTACTGTAATTGTTGAACTCGACTTGTTTAATGGTCTGATAATGATATTTCTTGATGTTGTCTCTTATGCTTTGCTTTTTACTTTTATCCATTGAGAACTGTGTTTTTCTGCATTTCTTAGTGAAGGGTAGCAGGTTTTAGTTTTTCACGTGCAACTTTGTTTCGCTAAATGTGTGTGGTCATTTAGTTTGTCTATTTAAATTTCGGTTTGAAGCCTGACATGCTTCATGATACAGGACCCAGATGACACTCTAAAGCGCAAGACATTTGAACTGCTTTATAAAATGACGAAGTCTTCAAATGTAGAAGTAATTGTGAACCGTATGATTGATTATATGATAAACATCAATGATAATCATTACAAAACTGAAATAGCATCTAGATGTGTTGAACTTGCGGAGCAATTTGCACCAAGCAACCAGTGGTTTATACAGGTTATACTGCAAATTCCATCTTCTTTTACGGAATATTCTTGACGCTGTTGCATTTATAGTTGAGAAATTTTAATTTTCTTCTTGTTTTGCCCTGTTTACTTGCCAGACCATGAATAAAGTATTTGAGCACGCAGGGGACTTAGTTAATGCCAAACTGGCTCACAACTTGATGCGGTTGATTGCTGAGGGATTTGGAGAGGATGATGATACTGAAGACAGTCAGCTCAGATCATCTGCTGTATGTTTTACTAATCAGTTTCTTGTGTCTAACTCATACTTCATGTCAGTTATGATAATTTAATACATTTTTCTGTAATAAGTATGTGTTTTGAACTCTTCTTTTAGTCAGCTTCAAAAAATCTCTGAGCTATGCATTGTGCAATATTTCTTTTGAACCTAATTTATGTGAATGTGCTTAATGTGTTCTGTAGTTTTGCATGATTTGTGACAATATGGATTATGCAAGTCAAGAAGAAGACAGGAACATTTTTATTTAATTTCAGGTCCCCCAAATAATACCCAGCCAGCTATTAGCACCAGCTATGAACTAAAATGACGACAGGTGTTGACAGTAAATAAAAAAATTTGATAATAATGTAGACTTATTTCTTGACCAAAGTTAGGCATTATATTAACTAAAACAACAGCAGGCATTGATAGGAATTTTTTTTTTTTTTAAAGATAATAATGTAGACTAAACTCTGATAAAACTTGGGTATTATAATTACTTATTGTGTTTGGCCCAACTAAAAATTTGAATTAAAATAGTCAAAAGTCAATATTTTATGTTAACCACACATTTTATGAGCCCCACAACTTTTTAACCACTTCCATTAACTTTTATCAAAATTTACTAAAAATCTGTTTTTTATCTAAATTAAGCAGTGGCTTATAAAGTTTTGATCTCTGACCTAGTATTGTTGGCATCCAAGATACTTCGGTAAAATATTATGAAATCCATAACATTGGTTAGAGTAGTTCCAATTATCTTATAGTTTATGCATGATTGGTGGGTTAGGGGAAAAATTTTAAATTTGTCCTATTTTCACCTGTAAAGAAGGTCATTATTCTCTACTTCCATGCCTCTTTGATGTTTTTTTCCCAATAAAAACACTGTAGCAACAGTTCTCTCCTGCTGCTCTAAACACATCTTGCATTAATGTGATTCGTATTGATCTGTTATGATGGCATGCTTTTATCGCTGAAACTACATGAGCGTTTCAAATAGTTGTCCATTTCTTGGTTGACATGAGTACATCACTCCACAGATTTTGGAAGTAGCAATTCCTGTTACTAAGTGCTTTTGCATGAAAATGGAAGAAATGGATTGAAATTATGATTCTGCTTTTTTAACACTTTTAACTGAAGTTATTTTGATCATGTGCAGGTGGAGTCATATCTTCGAATTATTGGAGAGCCAAAACTTCCATCTGCATTTCTTCAAGTACATAGTGTCACATATTGAATTTTCAAGCATTTTGTTTTGTTTTCTCCGTCTATGGTTTATCACATCTAGGTTTCCAATTATTTATTATTTGCATGGGCTTACTCTATTACGGACACAAATCTTGCTAGCTTTATGTTGCAGGTCATTTGTTGGGTCTTGGGGGAATACGGTACCTTTGATGGGAAGTATTCTGCGCCATATATCAGTGGGAAATTGTGTGATGTGGCAGAGGCACATTCAACTGACGACATTGTCAAAGTATGTATTTGCTTTAGTACCTAACCTTTTTAGATTGTATACTGAAACATTTGATTTACGTGTTGGCTTATTAACGTTTATGTAGCATAACCCGAACTTGGTGATGTATTTATACTTGGGTTGTGATTTATCCTGCACGTGATTTTGAGTTTAGATATATACGTATTAAAGGCTAATTCTCTTTTGTAGTTTTCTGAATTTACTTATTTAAAATATAATTACGTGTCAGCACATGGCATACAAAAACGAAAATACACAAATGTGTGTTGATTTATATTTTCTGCTTACAGTATTTAAATCTTTTTGGGTCGTGAATATCAAGTCAGCTATCATCGGTTAGGTTCAATTGGTGACTACTTGACAAGTACACATGACCGCATCTTAACTAGTGAAGCATTGCATCTAGCAATTTTTATGTTATGGTTGGACTAGATTATGTTGATTGGTGTTTTTGTAGGTCTCGGGGTGGTCACTTTAAATACTTATGCTTTCTAGCAAGAATAACTTTTGATTGCTGGATAGACTATGGATCCGACAAATTCAAGCAAATAAAAGATAATGAAAGTGCTGTTAGCTAATAATCAAATCCTCTCCCACTTTGAAAAGCATTTTTTTACTGCTCTTGCAAACGCTCCACATGCTCTGAAGTGATGCAGTCACTGCAATGACCACCGACCACTTGCTTACCCTCTTTCTGTTTTCATCTGCCAGTTATAAATTCTAGAAATTAGCAGAATAGAATGGGCACACAATTGTTAATAATTTCCCAATGAATTAATTGATACTCTTATGGTCCTTTGCAAAAAAGAAAAGAAGGAAAGATAAGCCAAAGATGAAGTATTGTTCATGAAAAATTGTTTAATGATTCCAAGCAATCTTCCCAGTAACTATTTGATACAAGAGCCGAAGAAAACTGGTGAACTTTTCTCAAAATCATTTCATTGTGATTATAATATGATCCAGATATAGTCAGTTTTTGTCTACGTATAAAAGTAAAACTGTCTACATTGTGGAGAATGGATAGTCATTAGCTAATTCGGTTCTCTTTTGACATGAATTCTGATCGATGAATATTGGGTCTACAAGTGTTGCAGTGTCAATGTAATCGAAACACAGTCAGTCAGCTTTTGTCAATTCATATAACTTAACCATCTTCATGGTGGAGAATGAATAGTCAGTAGCTCTAGTCAGCTCTGCTTATTCATTTATAAAAATCAGAACCATCTTTACTGTGGACAATGAATAGTCGGTAGCCTTGAGCTCTGTTTTTTTGTTCCCTTTTGTTAGGCAAATTCTAATAGATGAAAAATATTTTTTGAATAGCGGCTATCATAGGGTAATCAGAAAGCACACATTGAAATGATGTGGCCTCTAGGTGGATACTTGTGCAGCCTGTGCATACTTTGCAATTGCTTCTTCAGCCTTCAACTAGAGAAATTAATCTAATCTTGTTATTGTACTTGAGCAATAATTTTATGGACACTAATGGAAATGTTTTTTCCTGCTTATTTTGAAGGCATATGCTGTCACAGCCCTTGAGAAAATATATTCCTTTGACATTGCAGCTGGAAGAAAAGTGGACATGCTTCCTGAGGTAGGCAGTTCTAACCTTATGTAGTTTTACATTGACATCTTAATCTTTCTGCTCAGTATATGCAAGTGTTGCTTGAGTGTTTCTGTAGCCTTTTTCAAGTGGTACTGATGAGCATAGACAAATTTAGATTCTCACTGCAGTACCTTGTGTGAGTTCATTAACTGTACACTTCAGGAATCCAGTTTGTATTAGATGACATCACAATCCTCCGTGAGAACTATTGTACTTTTATTATAGCTTATCCATACCCACATAATTAGAATATCAATTCTTGGTGTACTATTGAGTGATTTTTTAGTGGATGCAATTGCGTGTGTATTGTCGTTTCTGGGTCACCTGAACATTTTGAACTTCTACCTCCAATTCTGAAAAAAGAGAGAATATTCACAAATATACCGAAGGTTTATTTATTACTCTTACCTTTCTCTCCTTGCTGAACTTGCTAGGCGACACTTAAAACTAAGTCGTGAATCCCCAGCTGTGGCTCAATGAATGTTGTCACTTACCACAACCATGATAAACGAAGCCTATGTTCTGTAAGATGCTGGACAATCCAGAATTCAAATGAGGTTACTCATTAGTAGATACATGCATGGACTTCTTGGTATTCAAATCCAGCAACCACCATTTAGCACATATAGCTTGGTTAAATTTCTCTCCCTTTATTTGGAAGAGGAGGTTTAGAGATATGCAGATGGAGGTGCAAACAGTATATTTGAGCTTAATTACTTATTCATTCGAGGGCGGAAATTTTCCTTTTGTTGTATTGGCTGTTTATAGATATTCACAGAGATCATACAATTTGTAAATTAATTCTTGAATCCGGAGGACCTTGTGCAGTGGTTACTTCGGGATGTATTAGACGTTAAAATAAAAAATAAAAATAAATGAATCCTTGTCTAGTAAGTGGCAGCTGAATGTAATGGTAATATATTCTAAGCAAGCTTTGTTCCTCATGAAACACCGGAAATCCTACAATAAATAACTAGCAAATTGCGAAAGTATGAGAATTAGAAAAGTCTCATCCTTCCGCCTTGGAACAGGAATATTTAGTTCTTTACTTCATTTGGCATTGAAGGGATAGCTTTAGCATTGGCAGAACTGCTTTTTGTATGTCTTTAGGAGTAACGAATTCTTGAGTGGAAATATACCTCTCCGTATTCTAACTCAAGTTTTTGTTCAAATATGGAGATAGAACTTTCAGCATGCTAACAGTTTTTACTTGCTGCAGTGTGAATCCTTGATTGAAGAATTATTAGCATCCCATTCAACAGATCTGCAGCAGCGTGCTTATGAACTTCAAGCAATCATAGGTTTAGATGCTCATGATGTTGCAAATATAATGCCAATAGATGCAAGTTGTGAAGACATTGAGGTGATATTTATCATTGCATTTAAATTTGAGTTTTAAACTGTCAGTCTGGCAGGTGTTCTCTTGTGAATTTCATTTTGGGGTTGCTATAGAAAGGACATAAAATTGTAGATTGTACATACATATGAGTAACTCCAATGTTTACCTAGAATGAGATGCTGGGGCATCGCGGATTATTCTAACATATTTAATTTGAAACTTGATTTTTTTCCTCTTTGTTTTGCAAGTTTTGGAAGTTTTGGGTGTGGTTAAAAAATAGGGAAAAGTTTTGGGTATACTTGTAAGATTATTTATTTGGAGAATGTGTGGTTGAAAATGAGTTTGGGAAAAAATGAGTTTTTCAAAAGAATGGGGCTCAAACATGGGCTGTATTTTGAAATTGCTTGGCGATCACAAATTTATTGTGGCTTTGCTTTTGTTGGCTGTGGTCGGTTGTGTTGTATGCATTGCTACTTGATTGTTCTAATGCTATATATTTATTTTGCCCAAGAATGCTAGTAAAGTTTGTAAATATTTGCAGATTGACAAAAGCCTTTCGTTTCTTGATGGATATATTCAACTAGCTATAGAAAAGGGGGCTCAACCATATGTTTCTGAGAGGGAACGTTCAGGAATGCCAAATATTAGCAACTTCAAAAGCCAAGAACAGCATGAGTCCTTAACGCACTCTCTTAGGTTTGAGGCTTATGAACTTCCTATACCGTCCATGACCCCTCAAGTTACTCCAGTGCTAGCATCTTCTACTGAACTTGTTCCTGTACCCGATCCATATTTTCATACAGAGGTCCACTATTCTGCTACACCTGCGCCATCCGTCTCTAATGCAGGGTCATCAGAACTCAAGCTACGACTTGATGGGGTTCAAAAGAAGTGGGGCCAACCTTCTTATTCCTCACCTGTGTTGTCTACTTCAATCAATGATACACCTAAGATGCAGAATGGGAAAACCCAACGCGATTCAGTTGGAAGTGCAAACTCAAAAGCACGCGATGCCTCTTATGATTCAAGAAAGCCGCAAGTAGAGATATCTCCTGAGAAGCAGAAACTGGCTGCTTCACTTTTTGGCGGTGCACCGAAATCTGATAGAAGACAATCTTCTTCAAACCAGAAGGTTACTAAGAATATCAGCCATGCTGCAGATAAGTCTCATGTGGAAAAGACAGCAACTTCTGATACTGTTATTATAAAAACTTCCCAGCCACCTCCCGACTTGCTCGACTTAGGCGAACCAGCTGGTACAAGTATTCCACCATCTCTAGATCCTTTTAAGCAATTGGAAGGTCTTCTCGATCTAAAACAAGATGCAACCACACTAAATACCAATGGAGTTAGTGGTACTGATGCACCCGACATAATGTCCCTCTATGCAGACATGTCACTAAGCGACCCGGGGAATAGTACTGCAAATCCATTTTCAACCAGTAAGGAAAGTGCTAGTCTTCTCACTGGGTTTTCAGATGAGGCCAACATAAATGGTCACGGAGGAAATACAGTTGCACAGGTAACACAGCAATTGAACAAGGGACAAAATCATAGAGATTTTCTGGAAAAGGATGCACTTGTTAGGCAAATGGGAGTGACGCCATCAGGTCAGAATCCAAACTTATTTAAGGATTTACTTGGGTAAAATTTTGTGGAAAAGGGATAGAAACAACCCCATAAATTGAGATCCCTTTAGAATAATCATTGTACCAGAAAGGCACTGTTTTCCATGCGGCTAACAGAAAAACTATGAGGTTATCAATCTGATGAGAGTAGTTGCAATTCATAAGCAGATTTTGGATGCACCCAGAATGGAGACACCTGTGTATGGTAGTAAAACCAGGTATACTTAGTATTTGAACAAAATGGTGTATATAACAATATGATGAGAAGGGCACGTGATGATCTCAATGTGGCGTGTTCGTGTTTTTCAAAATTGCGCCATTGTAGTTGGCTTGCCTGTTAGATCTGATTAACAGTGTAGCCTCCATTATTTTCAGTTTTTAATCTTGTTTTATACGCTGTCTAGTTCATTTTACATTCCCATATTAGTGTATCTCTTTCAATTGATCATTGAAAAACGAACCTTCTCCATAGTCTGATTGCCATCTTTCAAACAATTTGCGTTCGGAATTGTGGATTTTCATGTATAAGAATTTCTCATTGAAATAATCTGAATTGCTGTTTGATTGCTTGATTGGACTGAATACCAGTTGATTCGATATATATAGAGGTTAAACATTGTTACCCATCAATCATCTATCTAGATTCCGTTCGTCCATGTGGAAAAAAAAAATTCTACATGACGGATGAAAATCCCAATGGCAATTAACCATGTTAAATGAGTTATCGCTAACCTTTGTATTCAGTTACTATTTGCTCACTCTCAAAATTAAATAATTTTTCCTTTGGTTCCTGCTTGCTTGCTGATACAAAAATAAAATATTATCGATTGCTCACTTGTATTTACGCAATGTTACCCATCCATCATCTATCTCAATCTTATTTTTATAGTAATCAATTTATTTATAGGATTTTTTTGATTATTTTTGCAAATTATGTTCTCCCTCTATTTTCCTCGTATTTTTTCTTCTATAAAATTTATTTTTTATTTTTTATTGTCCAGTTGTTTAAATATGATTTTCATGATTTTTATTCTACGAAATTAGCAAATTGCTTTTGCTCGCTCTATTTTTTTCATTTTTTTTTCTTTCTACAAATTCCGTCAACTAATAAATATTTTTCTGAAATTGTTTTCCTTTTTTACTATCCTTTATAATATATGATTTTTATTTTCCTCATTTTTATTATGTATTAATTTTTATTTATTCATTTTCTTTACTTGTTTCTTCTAGGAATTTATTTGATTTTCTTTTTACAAAATCCTTCACCTTAGTGTCTTCGCCTATATTTTTTGAATTTGTTTTCTTGTTTCTCATAATAAAATAATTTTTTTTATTTTCTGTTTGACATGATGGAGAATCAGAGTGTGGATGCAAAGCATTTCAAGCTTAAGGCTATTTAGGTGATTGTCTACGATCCCATGTTATGACAATGTCCAAAATCACAAAAATATTATAAACAAATCGAACAATAAAATTGAAAATAAATTTTGTGGAAGAAAAAAAATGAGGAAATAGAATGAGCAATGTAATTTGCAAAAATTATATAAACAAATTGAATGGTATACAATTAAAACCGAGATGAATGAGAGAAGGGTAACATCGTGTAAATATGAGCGAGCAGTCAGTAACATTTTATTTTTGAATGAGCAAACAATAATCAAAGGTAAAAATTATTTAATTTTGAGTGAGTAAACAGTAAATAAAGGTATGAGCATTTTACATAGATAGATAATCTATGTGTTACATTATGTAAAAGATTGCTCATACATAAATCTAAAGTATCCAAACGAATATATGCTACGGCTGGACGAAGGTGAAGCATTTATTTTTAGTAATTTAATTATATGTTTTTATTTGTGATTTTTATTTATTATTTGTTAGAAGGTGTCTGATATATTTTAGCAGTTTAAGGACTTGGTGTAATGTTTAAGTCGCAATTAGGTTTTGGTGATCACAAGTGGCTTTTGCTTTGATTAATAAAAATATTATAATTGTGAGATTTTCTTCGATTTCTTAATTCAAACGTTATTCATGTGTGAACCAACATTTCGTGAGCACAAGTTCTTGTTTTTGCTCGTTTGTGTCTACATGAGTTTGTATGAGAATACAACCATGTTCCCCGATAGAGACGACGTAACAATTTACCCACATTAATATTCAAAGTTTCAATAGAGATTTCGCGTCCAAATTGTCCAAACTCTGTACACAAGGTTCTTTTGATATCAAGAATTAGGGCTCAGTTGTAAAAAAATCGGGGTGTCGCACTAGATACCACTTAACAGTTCACGGATTACCAATTTAACGGCTTTTAAGTTACCAAATGATTGTTACTTATCCGTTTTAATTTTGACCCTATGTGCGGAATTAATCAATCAAAAGCTACAAGTCACTTTTAATTGTATTAAGATAATTAAGTATGCAAGTCCAATTATCCTATATTTGAATACCGCAGTAATAAGAAAATCAATAATTAACACCGATATGATGATGGAGAAACCCCAACTGGATAAAAAAAACTCGAAGGGCCCAACACGCACAATCCTATCCTATTCGAGTTTACCCCTTACACTTCGGACAGCCATTTGTAGCATCATAAGGCGGATCTCCCTTGTCCTTACCCGATTGATCCAACCTTGCCCGAGCCTGCCTACCTCCTTCAAATTACAGGACCAAGCCAATTACCTCCACTATAGACAATACGGAATGAGTTACAGTCAGATGCTATCTAGCCAATTCCACTGGACTTCCCGATCTATTTCCTGCTAACTCCAAGGTCTACTCCAAGATCTTCTACAATTGTTTCTTCCCATCGGAATTCCAAGAACCTGCTTCAAGGCCTTGTGCTCTTTCTGCGCTTGTAGTCCAACATCTCTCAACCTCCAGCAGCCTCTGAAATTCAACTGGGAAAGTACCTTCCTATGACCAATAGGAAGTAGGTGGTGTTTCGGATTCAATGAGTTTGATATTTTTTCCAAATATGTGGTTGTATAAAATCAAGAGTGAAATAATGAAATCAATGTATGAATAGGCTCTTGAATATGTTATAGAGAAGGGATACAATGAACAATCACCCAATTTTTGTGCATATGCTTGGATATTTATATGAGAGTGTAATTATGTTGAATGGGCCAAAAAAAGTACTTCAAAACAGCAAAATAGGGTTTTCGAGATCGACTTATCGCTTGAACGAAAGCTCAGCGACAGGCGGGCGATAGACATTCTGTTTTTGTTGCTCGAAAATGCGGCGCCGTGTTTCTCTTCTTTTCATGCTCGAACCTTAGAACGCATAACCCAATTTATACAAATTGCACCCTAGGTCCTTGACTTTTACAACACATTACAAATTAATCATTTTGTTCACATAATTGTCAATACTGAAAACCTAACAAGTTTTACCCACATTTCACACAACAAATAACCTCAATTCCAGTGCTAAAAAACATTCCCTATTCAACCCTTAGAACCATGAAGGAAGCTAGTGAAACATTTACAAAGTATGGTTGAAAGATCATGAAGAAAATGCATAAAGCAAGAGCATTCGTGAGACAAAGAAAAGAGAAACAGAGAGTTAAGCACAAGAGAATGAGAGAGTAGTGTGAAATTAGCTAGGGTTCCTCCTTTATGTAGGAAGACCACAACCATTGATCAAATCAAAATTCAAGGGTCACAATCTCTCCACACAACTAAAAAATCATTGAGTAACAGTTATAAAAGTGTTAAACCTCAAAATGACACTTTGTACTTGGGTCGGATCACTGGGTCAATGTTGGTGTTAAATGTTCGAGCCTTTTAATTCTTCAATTATTGAAGGACAACTAATGTTACGCCATTGTTCCAAGTTTGTTTGGAAACACAAAAGTCCAATAAACCTCCGCCTTAATTCCAAAAACCTTTGCAAGAAGACATAAGTTTCCTTGTCCCTCTTTTTTGGCATCTTGTACTAATCAAAAAATTAAATATAAATTGGAACTTATAAATCTTTAGTGATGTTCAAAAGACTTGAACAACTTTTGAACATAACCAAGGACAAAACCTTGGTGTTGATATGAGGGATTAGGTTGTGAAAGAACTTTCTCAAGTTTTACCACACCTTGTATCACAATATTAATGATACGTAACCTAATACCAATGTGTTTAGTACGCTTTTTGAAACACTAGATTCTTACACTAATGTATTGCGAATCAATTAAGTTATTTGTACAACTCTTGTTGACAATTTTGGTGTTGTCAAAATTCGGGTCGTTGATTTAAAAAATAGTTTTAAAAATGTATCAATCTAGCATTGTCAGTGTGAAGTTGTTAATCAATGTTGTACAAGTAGCGTGATTCATTACTAATTGACTATTTATATAGCATGTTTGTGTTTTATTTAGAATTGCTCTGTCTATAAAATTTTGACTCTGTATAGCTTTGTTGATAGATTCAGACACCGTTGGTTCAAGTTGACTTTTAGCCTGGGCTTGGGCCTAGCATCCCCTTCATGTGCTATACAGATCAAGAATGGGTGGAGACTTTCTTCAACTATTATAATTCTTCCAAGATTGTATATTGAGAATGTTGAGTTTTGATACTAAATAAATTTGGGTGATGATTTTAAAATAGATGTCGGATAATCTCTCAACATTGCTCTGATTCCGACGACCATTCCGGCGACTATTTCGGCAATCATTCCGGTCACAGATTTATAATTTAATTAGTCACATATTATTTTTCAGTCACAAATAATAATTTTTATACGTCCCAGATTATTTTATGGTCACAGTTCAAAAATTTTATAGGTCACATTTAATTCGTTGGTCACAGATTTCAAAATTAGTTGGTTACAGATCAAAATTTATAGGTCACACGGTCACATATTTCCAAATTAGTTGGTCACAGATTTTTACGATTACAGATTATATAATTTTTAGGTCACAGATAAAAAATGGTTAATTTCATTGGTCACATATTTTCAAATTTGTTGGTCACGGATTATTTTTCAGTAACATATTGTCAAAATTTTAGATCACAGTTAAATATT